TAAATATATAAACTATGTTACATGCGTTATATGCGTCTCTAATTATTTTTCCCTAGCAAATTTCAATTGAACCTAAAGCCGCCACGTCAGTTTAATTGATATGCTAATTGATTGACAACTAAGCAAGGTTACTTTTTAATTAATACAAACTTGAGGTTACATCTTTTCAAATGTTTCTCAATTAATATATAGGGGATTGATTATATTTTATTATAGCGGCTATTTCCATTTACCTTGTTTAAATTCAGATATCCAAATGTTATGAGAGAATTTGAAAATAATAAAAAGACTTGCAAGCACATTTAAGGAGCATCTCTGTAATTTACTTGTATGTTCAAACTTAAATAAGGATAAAAGCAATAGAAATATAAACAATACAGTTCTAAACCTAATTTTTATGGATTGTACAATTGGTGGTCAAATTTTATTCTTGACAAAATAAGTTTAATAAGTGTTTAGCGATGTCTGGCACCAAAATGACGCATATGCTTACTGGTATACATTGTTAGGCTCTCTACTCCACACAAAACACAACAAATCAATTAAATCAATGTATGGAATTCTTGAACCATAAAGTGAAAATAGCTTTGAAATTTTAAAATTATTCAAATTTTTCAAAAGAATATAAACAGAAAATGATGTACACGCTATATTCACTCTGAAACAACTGATCGTAATTTTGGTTTCTAAACAAAAAGCACTAAGGAATATGTGGTGTCCAGTCACTGGTTCCAGGAGCCGTGCTAAGTTAATCGATCAATCAATATATGCAACAACAAAAAATGTCAGCTAACAAAATTTCAGGAACACACATAATATAAGCAGACTAAAGATTAGTGAATGTACGAATTGGGAACTAGATGAGCGACACTTATGTAAATCGATTTGTTGATTAGTGTTGGATAGCATGGAACATATGAAATCAATTATCCAACATCTATATAAATACATAAAAGTTTTGCAATATAACTTCAGGAAAGTCAAATGGATTCACACTGTCATTCCCAGACAAAAAATATGTTTAGTTATCCAAAAAATTAGATTGTAAATATTATGGCTAAAATCAGTTTGAGCTATAAGTGTTTTGATTGCTAACTAAGATCGTCTAAAAAAAATTTTATTTTTGAATATAAGTTTTTTTTTTCATTTTATTATTCCAAAACTAATTTGAAATTCTGAATTTAAAAATATGAAAGATAAAATCTCGTATTGATATTTTATTATTCAAAACCTTATATATGAAGTTTAATATCTTTTAGCTTACTTCTTAGATTGTCTTGCTGTTTTACTCACCTTTACCACAATATGCAAGTATGTAACCAAGCTTCTAAAGAGAAAGCTGAACATAGTTTTTCACCGTGCTCTTTCATGCACTTCAGCTTCGACTGGACAACAATATTACCCATCACTTATCTTCTCTGCTCATTTTTTTTGTCACTGCAGTTTCCACTATTCTTTTGTTGGTGTGAACAGTTTCCAACATCTTTGTCACACATCAATTGCTATTCTTTTTGTAGCTAAATGCTAAGGTTAAATCTACATGTAACCCTTAGTGGATGTGTTTTTTTTGTATGCTTGTGGAAGGTATAGACTCTTCTGTGATTACACTGACGCGTTCCTTTATCATACATAATATACCCATGACATGATTCACGAATCCTGACATTCATACTCATGTGATGCTTTTTTACTTTGGTTTGAGTCAACTGGTTCAAAGGTTTACTTGCATTGAGTTTTACGTGAGAATGCATTGTAGCTGAGGCGGATATCAAATTTTTGGGTATTGCTGGACGTGTAGAATGTGAAGATGTATATTATGTGCCAGTGCGTGAAGTACTATAGGAGATAGTATATGTGTGTGTCATGAAGATGGGCTAAGTTGGAGTTCGTGTTTTGTGATGTCTGTGGGCTTGTTAAACTTGGAGAAGAGATAATATATTTACTGGAATATTTACATTAAGTGTAAATGATATTAATTGAAGAGGAAAAGGCAAGAGAGTTATTCTTTAAGAGAAAAAGGAAAGTTGCTTAATTTTCTTTTGGAAGAACTTGAGGAGCAAGTTCTAGGTATCGATACAAGGAGGACGTGCCTCCATGGAGAAAGGTGTCTCTGCTAACAAGAAGAAAAGTCGAGAGATAATTTTGGTGTTGCTTGTGTGATCAAGCCTTTGGTGTCACTACTCTGCGTTAGGTGCTACGTATTTGTTGACGTACAAACGAGAAGTGGAAGATTGAATCCTAGACTCAGAGGGAGTTTAGCTCGGGGTTTGGAGGATCCTGATAAACAAAAGTCTAGACTCTAGGGTGAGTTTTAGCTTAGGATTGGGCTAATTTTAAAGGATTCTTGTAATAGAATAGATTGGTGTAAGACTTTCTTGTTTCTAACTGAATTCGAAAAGAGAAACTTGTGTCTTTTACTTTCTGCTATTTATTTTTTGGTTTCACTACATCAACAATTGGTATCAGAGCAGGTCACCGAAGTTACTGGTGAGATCTTGAAAGGTGAGGACATAAACTGGTTCAGGAAGAAGGACAGAGTTTGTGATGACAACATATCAAGAGGGAACGTCTATGATAAAACCCCCACGTCTTGATTCATCCAATTATGGATATTGGAAGGTACGTATGCAAGCTTTTATCAGTGGTATTGATGAAGACAGTTGGAGTTCTATTGAGGATGGTTGGAGTCATCTTGTGATGCTTAATGATGAAAAGATTAAAGTTTTGAAGCCAAGAGATCAGTGGACTGCTGCAGAGAAGAAGGCTTCAAGTTGCAACTCTAAGGCTAAGACTGCGATTTACAATGCTATTGATGCAAGCTATTTTAAGTTGATTTCTCAATGTGATTCAGCTCAAAAGGCATGGAAGACATTGGAGAATATGTTTGAAGGTACTACAAGTGTCAAGCGTACCAAGCTAGATATGTTAGCCTCAAAGTTTGAGAATCTTAGGATGGATGAAGAGGAAACCGTGGCTCAGTTTAGTGCTAAGTTGTGTGACATTTCGAATGAATGTTTTGCACTTGGAAAGCAGTACAAGAAGCTGGTGAAGAAGTTGAAGAGATCATTGCCATCCAAGTTTGAGTCAAAGATCTCTACTGTAGAAGAAGCTCACAATCTGGAAGAGATGACTTTTGATGACTTTGTTGGTATTCTTCAAGCTTTTGAGTTGAGTAAATCATATGGAGAAAAAACACATGGAATTGCTCTCAAGGGGTCATTTTCTGAAGATTCTATGGTGATGCTGTCAAAAAACCTTGCTAAGTATCTCGAGCAACATCGAAGCAAAATGGAAAATAGAAGAAGTGATTCAGGTAGATCATCATCAAGGTAAAATGCTATGAGTGTAATGGATTTGGGCATGTTCGGAAGGAATGTGCAAATTTGCAAAGAAAAAACAAGAAGAAGGATGAATCTGATACTGATTCAGATGACGGTGGTGAGTTGAAGAACTTGGTGGCGTTCACAACTTTTGATTCGTGTTCTAACAAAAGATCTGGGACGGGATCTGCATCGGCGTCTGTGTCAGGATCTTCATGTGGAAGTGATTCTAGTGCTGAAAGTGATGGTGATGATGGAAGCTTTGATCTTGCTGGAAATTATGAGAAGCTGTATGAGAATTGGTTCAAGATGGTTGAGGCGAATTCAGAGTTGGCGAAAGAGAAAGTCAAGCTAGAAGAACAAGTGGCTGAAGCACTTAAGTATGCCTCAGAGAAAGAAGAAGAAGCACGACAGGCTGGTGCTCAACTTTCTGAGACTCAGAAGGGTTTGAGGATGCTGAATAATGGGACGAATCAGCTGGATCATCTTCTCAGCATTGGGAAAAGTGATCGATGTGGTCTTGGAATCAAAGGTGAATCTTCTAAAGCTGAAGGTGTTTTTGTATCAGCAAGAAAAACTGAAGGTGTAGCTACGTCTGCTACAAAATCAAAGGCCAAGGTGTTTGCTGAGAATGCAACAAATGGGAAAACTGCAGTGAAGGCTGCAACTGATGTGAAGAATGCGGCTGCTACGAGTACTGTTACACGTACTGCTACATCGACTGCTTCGGGTAATGTTTTTGATCCTAAGAGGGCATCTAACGAAAGTTTCAGCCTATTTGTCATCACTGTGGTGTTGTTGGGCACATTAGGTCATGGTCCTATATGTTATTCTTGTGGAGTTCAAGGGCATATTCCACGTGATTGTTTCAGGTCTGCTCAAGGAGCTAATCATGGAGGTGTTATTCTCAGGAATACGTGGTCAAGGAGATTTGATCATTATGGAGATGGTGGTATGGGATGTCATCCTCACTTTGGAGGATATCCATCTTCTTATTAGTTTTTGACCATGATGTGACTCATAGGGGGAGATTGAAGACGTGGTTTTCTATCCAGAGGTAATGAATTCACATACATAGTCAAAAAGGGGAAGATTGAAGATGTATATTATGTGCCAGTGCATGAAGTACTACAAGAGGTAGTACATGTGTGTGTCATGAAGATGGGCTAAGTTGGAGTTCGTGTTTTGTGATGTCTGTGGGCTTGTTAAGTTTGGAGAAGAGATAATATACTTACTGGAATATTTACATTAAGCGTAAATGGTATTACTTGAAGAGGAAAAGACAAGAGAGTTATTCCCTAAGAGAAAAAGAAAAGTTGCTTAAGTTGCTTTTGGAAAAAATTGAGGAGTAAGTTCTAGGTATCTATACAAGGAGGACGTGCCTCCATGGATAAAGGTGTCTCTGCTAACAAGAAGAAAAGTCGAGATATCGTTTTGGTGTTGCTTGTGTGATCAAGCCTTTGGTGTCACTGCTCTGCGTTAGGTGCTGACGTAGTTGTTGGCGTACTTCCGAGAAGTGGAAAATTGAAGCCTAGATTTAAGGAGAGTTTAGCTCGGAGTTTGGATCCTGATAAACAAAAGTTTAGATTCTAGTGTGAGTTTTAGCTTAGGATTGGGCTAATCTTAAAGGATTCTTGTAATAGAAAAAATTGGTTAAGACTTTCTTGTTCTAGTGAATTCGAAAAGAGAAACTTGTGTCTTTTACTTTCTGCTATTTTTTTTTTTCACTACATCACCACGTGGACCAAGTCAACGTCAACATTGACTCACAACAACATGACCTATTTCTTTCGTGTAGATCACGTATAACTCAGTGGATGGAATAATCTGTCTGGTTCAGTTCAATGATTGTGAATGATGAAACAATGATTATAGAGAATCACTCAATCTGTTCAAGGGAGTGTCCTTTAGTAAAGCATCAACAACAAGTAGACAAACTGTATTTGCGAGACCAAGAACTTGAAGTCATATTTAAGTTTATCTATTATAAGTTTATAACTATGATTTGGTTAGAGAAACATTTTGTATGTAATTTGGAGTGAAGTCAACATTGAGCTCCTATTAGCTGCACGAAATTAATTGTATAGTTTTTTCCTCTCACGTTTTTGTCTTTATTGATGACAATAGAACAAAGAGTATTATTTACACAGACAAGTGGACCAGTTATAAGGTTTTTCTGAGGAATACTGTTATGTCCCCATCTAAATGAGCTGTTGCTAATTTTCAAATACTCAGACTTTGGTTTTTACTTGTTGGACCTATTGGCCTGTGGAAAATGCCTATTATGAAGGATGGACATTGTACTCTTGCTTTGGCCAGTGACCACAGCTAATGTAGTGACATATAATTTTTAGTCATCCGAGAATGTTTTATGATCAGTCATCCGAGAATGTCTTGATCAACAAATTCTGACCAATTGGCTCTGTGGTATGGTAATATATACTTCAGATATTTGTTACGGATCGACTGAGACAATGTTGCTTTAACATGGCCTAGTTTGTGTTTTCATATAATCACGGTTAGAGAAGAAAGTCGTTAGTCAAATAGTGACCAATGCTTTTAGAAATCAGATGAATAATCTTCTTGTAATACATGAATGAATTTGTTCTTCATAATCCCAACAAGTCTATGATGCAAAAAACACACGCACATCTATAACTCGAATCTCTAAACCGGTAGCTGGTAGCAATACATCCTAATTAACCTTAATATCTAACAGGTTTCTTGTTCTTGAACACCAAGTAGAATCAGGAACTAATCATGTTGAAATGGAATCTGGATAGTTGTTGAGGAATGGTCGATATAACCGGTCCATATCTCTGTCCCAGGAAAAGAATAATATCGTTAGAAATTTGGGATAAGACCATTTCTAAATGTTGATAGCATCTGGAAATATATTAAAAAAAAAACACAAAACCTGAACATTGTCATAGAGTTCAAACAAAGGGACGGCCAAGAGTTTCAAGTTTTTGGGCACTGCAAAGTATTCTTTCTCAGATAAATGAACAATGTAGAGTCTCTTGCATTCCTGCCATTCCAAAAAATTGCAATGTAAAATAAAACAAAACCTACTCAGGAGGAAGAGTAAATAAGAAAGTTGTAAAGCTACATTGTGCTGTTTTATTTTATTACCTTTGGTTTCGTGATGTGTGGAGGGCAATACGGGTACATCATGGTTTCAAAGTTTGGACGCCACCATGTCGCAACACATTCTCCTACCTGTTTAAGGAGGAAAAAGCCCATCGAGGAACTATGGATCAGGGACAGAACTATATACATATACATGTGTGGATTAGTGACAGAGTCTTCAATTTTTCATGTAATAAGCATATCAATGTCTATCAAAGAACCAAGACCTATCTTTGTTTCCTTCTATGAAACGCTCATTACTAGACTTCTAAATTGTTATAAGTTATAACCAAAAGGTTCCTACTGATAACGGCTTCTCCTTTGCATTAAGAGCAAGACACATTTCCTTTAAGGCATCTACCAAAACCTAAGAATCTGGTCACTATCAGACAGGAATAGAAAGAAACCAGAGTAGTACCTTCCAGTCGGGTACAATACCAACCGAATTGCCTCCAAGCTTACTGGTCAACTTTCTCTTCAGGCCTTCGACTTCTGCAAGACATAACATTAGTACATACAAAACTGAAAGACATAACATTAGTACATACAAAACTGAAGCTAAAAAAGGAAAATCACAGCAGTATAGAAAGTAATCATAACAGAAGGTTGCTGCATACCATTTTCTCCAGGCTTCAGGCGTCCACCCGGAAGTTTGCAGAATGTGTTACCAATTTGCAGAAGAAGTATATGAGGATGGTTGTGTTCTTGTACCTGAAAGGTAGATCAGTAAAAGGTATTAAGACCAGTCATCGAGTCGGAGGGCGAACAAACGATTGTATGTGGTAACAATTCTAGTCTTGACAATAAACACCAATCATTCACTTAGCTTATGCACCAACGAGACTGACCTTAGGTGTTTGGGATGTAAACAAATGATCTTATCTTTAGAAAACATTTTAAAAGATGCGAATGTGAAGTAGATGTTACTACATGACCAAACATGAAAACATAGAAGGGGAAGGTTGGCGCATACAAAGGATGAAAGATTCGAGATAACAAGTAGCATAATATACGCCTAACAAATGCTTGTGAATTTACTAAGTGCAGTTTATGTGAGTCCACACTATTGTGCTAGAGATGGCAACTAGAAAAGGAAGTAGATGCCTTCAAATATCACACAGTACCACATCTATGATACAACTGTAAACGCATGCTTAAAGAGGAACGCCAAGATAAAATACAAATATGTTGACACTTTGGTAACCACATAACTGTTCTACTTCCACCGAATTGTAATACAGCAGGTGGTGATAAAAATAGAGAAAACTACAGAGGAATTTGATAACAAGTAGAGTCTACCAAGAGTTGCAAAACACATACCAGAAGAATCCCTTCAACGCTAGTCCTCATGCCCTCTTTCATATAGCTGCAACACACACCATCAATAAAACAAGAAAGATTTATATATATATTTTAGTCATCAACAGAATCCAACAATGCTTTGAGTTATAACTATAGAACTCCAGTCCAGACTAGAATCCTGGAGAAGAAAGTATGAGACTTTTCAACGAATTTACAAAACAAGAAAGTGTTCTATATAACATGTACAGTTACTACACCTGCTCCCCTCTAAAATCAATCACTGCAAATTTATATAGATTCATAAACAATGTCTAGTGCTAGGTAACATGTACCATCAATAAAACAAAAAAGATATATACTTTAGTCATCAACAGAATCCAACAATGCCTTGATTTAAAACTATAGAACTCCATTCCACACTAGAATCCTAGAGAAAGTATAGAGACTTCTTTTTTCTTTTTTTTTTTTAATGTTAAATTTTTATTCATCAAAAAAGCCCTTTTACAACCTGAACAAAGTATAAGCCCTAAACCCCTTATATAACATGTACAGTAACTAACTACACCTGCTCCCCTCTAAAATCAAATTTATAAAGATTCATAAACAATGTCTTGTGTTAGATCTTTCTAAAACCAGTTGTTCTAACCAATACATGTATCAAGTTCAAGTTTTGAAAGAGATAATCAAGAAACAGCAAGAACTGTGATCTAAGCATGTAAAGGACGGAGCTTTCTTCTCGGGTTCTTTCTAAATTCAGCAGTAGTTAGTATAAGAAGAAAGACAGAAAACAAAAGAGACGGAATCGTACTTGACTTTCATACGAGCGAGTCTGTCGGCGACGGAGGTGTCTTTTTCAAGTTTGGGTTCTTTAGTTCCGAAGCTGTAGTTCGAAAGAGGGTACGTGTTCACCACCTGAGACATCGCCATCTCTCTCTCTGTGTATCGATCGATTTGATCTCGGCGGCGACGGCGACAGAGGAGTAATCTCGACTCTCGACGGAGAAGTTAATACGACACCGTATCCACTACAACTTCTAGAGTCGCGTTCTATGCTCGAACTTTAATACGTCACCGTATCAATTTAAAAACCGTCGATGGCCCATTAGAAATTTGGCAGAATTTAAAAAGCCCATTTAATCTCGACGGAGAATTTAATACGACACCGTATCAAACTACAACTTGTAGAGTCCGTCCCCGTTCAACGTTCGAATTTTTTTCGTACAGCAAGTTACTACGACACCGTATTAAATCAAACCCATCGGTTGTCCATACATAATTGGGCCGTGATTTAAAAAGCCCATTTAAATTCAAGGAAGAAAACCTCCTCAAACCGCTTTACCTTCGTCACTTTGCCAACACTTCTGCAGACTATCCAACCATCAACCTAAGAAAAGCGCGCGAAAATTGGCAACCAAGTTCGCCATAGCCAAACGACCCTTCCACGAACAAACTAATCATGGGGAAGCAGAAACAGCAAACGCTTTCTCGATTCTTCTCACCCAAACCCAAACCTAAACCCTCACCGTCGCCGGATTCGGTAGCCGAATCGTCAACACCGCCGCCGAAGATCTCCGCCACCGTCTCCTTCTCTCCCTCCAAGCGAAAGCTTCTCTCCGACCATCTCGCAGCCGCGTCTCCGAAAAAACCTAAACTATCTCCACACACTCAAAACCCCACACCTGATCCCAATCTACACCGAAGATTCCTCCAGAGGTTTCTAGAACCTTCTCCGGATAAAGAATCTATCCCCGTGACATCTTCGAGTAAGTACACACCGTTAGAGAAACAAGTGGTGGAGCTGAAGGGGAAGCATCCTGATGTGATTCTCATGGTGGAAGTTGGTTACAGGTACTGATGATGCAGTTAGAATATTTCTATTTATCTTAATTACATAATTTATAATCTTGTAACATAATTACCTTCCTTGTTTTAGTGGTTTTATAATTTTCTTATATATAGCTGCTCTTGGTTGTATCTAGTTTATGATATGATTAATAAATTTGAGAGTTCTATTTGGTACTTTGTTTTCGGTTGATCTATAGAGATTTCAACGAATCTAAGAAGACATTGATTTTAATTTTAAGTAAGAGATTTCAAAAAAAATTAAGAAGTCGATTTTATAGAGATTTCAACGAATTTAAGAAGACATTGATTTTAATTTTAAGTAAGAGATTTCAAAAACAATTAAGAAGTCGATTTTATAGAGATTTCAACGAATTTAAGAAGACATTGATTTTAATTTTAAGTAAGAGATTTCAACAAATTTAAGAAAGACATTGATTTTAACTAAGATTTCAACGAATTTAAGAAGACATTGATTTTTTTAAGTATTCTTAGACTAAATAAGGTTTTATCTGCATGCATCAGGTACAGATTCTTCGGAGAAGACGCGGAGATTGCAGCACGTGTGTTGGGTATCTACGCTCATATGGATCACAGTTTCATGACTGCGAGTGTACCTACGTTTCGACTCAATGTCCATGTGAGGAGGCTGGTGAATGCAGGGTACAAGGTTGGTGTGGTGAAGCAGACTGAAACTGCAGCTATTAAGTCCCACGGTGCTAACCGGAGCGGTCCGTTTTTTCGAGGATTATCGGCTTTGTATACTAAAGCCACGCTTGAAGCTGCTGAGGATATAAGTGGTGGTGGTGAAGAAGGTTTTGGTGGTGATCAGAGTAAATTTTTGGTTTGTGTTGTGGATGAGAGAGTTGATAAAGAGACTAATAAAGGTTGTGGTTTGGAATTGGAAGCGAGTTTTGATGTTAGAGTGGGGATTGTTGGTGTTGAGATTTCTACCGGTGAAGTTGTTTATGGAGAGTTTAATGATAATTTTATGAGGAGTGGGTTAGAGGCTGTGGTTTTGAGTTTATCACCAGCTGAGTTGTTGCTTGGCCAGCCTCTGTCACAGCAAACTGAGAAGGTTCATTAATCTCTTGTTACTTTTCCAAAAATTTGCTTCTTGATGAAGTGTTTGACAAGAATCTTTGTCTGTATGAATATTTATTCTATGGGTTGGTTTGGAATACTAGAACTTCTGTTCTTGGTCGATATAAGTGCATGTTACTGATGAATGGTTGCTTGGTATTTTTGTTTGGCAGTTTCTGCTGGGATATGCTGGACTTACTTCAAACGTTCGAGTGGAACGTGCCTCACAGGATCGTTTCCGCAATGGTAGTGCAGTAGATGAGATTGTTTCAATATATGAAGATATTAGTGCAAGAAACCTGGCAGATGATAATGAAAACAAGGTGGAGGTTGCTGAAGAGAAAATATCTTGCCTGACAGTTCATGTATGGCATTTGATTTTGTAAAATCTTGCACTTCCTTTTATGTTGAAGATGCTTTGTTAACGCTAGATGTTTTCTAGTAGATTTTGTTTTTTCAGTAAAGCTAGTTGCTTGCTGCAGTTCCTGCTAATTTCTTGCTTTTGGTGATGGTGCAGACAATTGTGAACATGCCACATCTGACTGTTCAAGCCCTTGCCCTGACACTGTGCCATCTCAAACAGTTTGGATTTGAAAGGATCCTTTTCCAAGGGGCTTCAGTTCGCTCTTTGTCAAGCACCACAGAGATGACTCTATCAGCCAATACACTGCAACAATTGGAGGTGCTTTCCACTTTATTTGATCTGTCACAATGTGATATTCAGTGAATATTAAGACAAGTTCTAAAAGAGATTCTTTTTTTTTCAGGTTGTAAGAAATAATTCAGATGGATCGGAGTCTGGCTCCTTATTCCATAATATGAATCAGACTCTTACAGTATATGGTTCCAGGCTTCTTAGACACTGGGTAAGACACGTTTTATTTTCTTCTTAGCTTTGGCACAATAAGGGCTTTGTATATATTGGTTTTGTGGAATGATAGACCACACTGTCGTCGTATTATAGTAAAAAAATACTTATGATTTGACTGCCATCTTCCAGTTCTTGAAGGGACATAAATTTCTATACTTGCCCTTCAGAACATACTCTTTATGGGCTTTTCGTTAAGTGTTAGGGAAATTTCTAAAACCATCGATCATCATTATGTATGAACACTTTCACTCGACAGGTGACTCATCCTCTTTGCGATAGAAATTTGATATCTGCTCGCCTTGATGCTGTTTCTGAGATTGTTGCATGCATTGGATCTCCTAGTTCTTCCCAGGTCAGCGAGGAGTTAGATGAAGGCAGTTCTGAGAGAAAAATTGTACCACCTGAGTTTTATCATGTGCTCTCCTCAGTCTTGACAGCTTTGTCTAGATCACCTGATATTCAACGTGGAATAACAAGAATCTTTCATCGGACTGCTAAAGCCACAGAGGTGAAACTTGGCTTTTCCTTTACCCTCTTATAGATGTGTCTGGCATATAGTGGAATACTGTCGTAATATTATCTGCAGGGAAAGTAAAAACCGTTACTTATGATGTTAAACTCTTTCTGAAGTAAGTTGATGACTAACAATAAAAAGTATTGGCATCTTTGTGATATCTAGTCAAACAAAAAATTGCTGCATATTGAAGAATTTTACGAGTTTTGCTTCCCACCCCTGTTTTGTAAATTAGTTATTTGTTTACCACGCTTCCTCACCTGAGGCCTGAGAGTTCTTAACTTTTTGGGTGAAAAGTTCATTGCAGTTATCGAAGCTATTTTACTTGCGGGGAAGCAACTTCAACGCCTTGGCATAAAGCAAGATTGTGAAACGAGGAGTATGCAATCAGCAACTGTGCGGTCTTCTCTTTTGAGAAAACTAATTTCTGTTGTTTCGTCCCCTGTTGTGGTTGACAATGCCGCGAAACTTCTCTCTGCCCTGAATAAGGAAGGGGCTGCTAGAGGAGACTTACTCGACATACTAATCACTTCCAACAACCAATTTCCTGAGGTTTGTATACCATTAATCGTTTCTCTTAATGTTATGTTTTCTGCAGCATATAGCTCCTTAACATTGATTGATTTTCATGAATATATTTTTTAGTGGCGATTTTGTGTGTTCATAACTCAATTGTGTTATTTACAATGCACAGCTTGCTGAAGCTCGCCAAGCAGTTCTAGCTGTCAGGGAAAAGCTAGATTCCTTGATAGTTTCATATCGAAAGAAGCTTGCAAATCGAAATTTGGAATTTCTTGAAGTGTCCGGGATCACACATTTGATAGAGGTACTCTCCATAGAACTCGTAGTTTTTGGAATGATGCGTTCTTGCCAAAGAGTGCAGCTTTCTTGAAACTGCACCTCAATAGTTACCTCAAAAGCATCTTCATGTATGTGGAAGTGAAAAAGTTTTAAGAAAGAAGCTTGTGTGAATTTGATTTCGTGCACATTTCCACTAGACATCATTCACATCTATCTTCTTTTGTACCAAGTATAAACACATCAATATTTTTAAAATTTTGGACATTAGTTTCAGATCTGAAGCTAATGATTTATTTCTCTAGTACAGGTGCCTGTTGATGCCAAGGTTCCTATGAATTGGGTGAAAGTAAATAGCACCAAAAAGACTATTCGATATCATCCCCCAGAAATAGTAGCTGGACTGGACGAGCTAGCTCTAGCAACAGAACATCTTGCTATAGTGAACCGAGCTTCATGGGATAGCTTTCTTAAAAATTTTAGTAGATACTATACTGATTTTCAGGCTGCTGTTCAAGCTCTTGCTGCGCTGGACTGTTTGCACTCCCTTGCAACTCTATCTAGAAACAAGGTTTCCAAAGGGAACGAACCCCACCAAAAGTTGCTTGTAGTTATACTTTTTAGCTCTTAACGTGTCTTATTTTTTTCCCCTATGCAGAACTATATTTGCCCTTTGTTTGTAGATGACTGTGAACCAGTTGAGATAAACATACAGTCTGGTCGTCATCCTGTATGCTTCTGCTCTCACATGTTATTCTTTTCTCTTCCTATGCCTACTTGGAATATATTGTTCATTCTTATCAAATTTTTCCAGGTTTTGGAGACTATATTACAAGATAACTTCGTCCCAAATGACACAAGTTTGCACGCAGAAGGCGAATATTGCCAGATTATCACTGGACCTAACATGGGAGGAAAGAGCTGCTATATTCGTCAAGTTGCCTTAATTTCCATAATGGCTCAGGTAACATGGAGATTAACCGTCCAAGCTTATGCTGTTTTAGTATCTCTTACATCTGTTGAATTCTAAATGATTCAAGCTTATGGTTCTTCAGGTTGGTTCCTTCGTACCAGCTTCATTCGCCAAGCTGCACGTTCTTGATGGTGTGTTCACTCGGATGGGTGCTTCAGACAGTATCCAGCATGGACGAAGTACTTTTCTAGAAGAGCTAAGTGAAGCCTCGCACATAATCAGAACCTGCTCTTCACGTTCGCTAGTTATAATAGATGAGCTTGGAAGAGGCACTAGCACACATGACGGTGTAGCCATCGCCTATGCAACATTACAACATCTCTTACTAGAAAAGAGATGTTTGGTTCTTTTTGTCACGCATTACCCTGAAATAGCTGAGATAAGTAACAGTTTCCCGGTTTCTGCTGGTACATACCACGTCTCGTATCTGATGACATCACAGAAGGATAATGACGGTTCTGATCACGATGATGTGACGTATCTATATAAACTTGTGCGTGGTCTTTGCAGCAGGAGCTTTGGTTTTAAGGTTGCTCAGCTTGCCCAGGTACAATCAGATTTTTACACAAGTTCATATCGTCACATAAAGATGATTATTGAAGGCATTTTAGTCCGCTCATGGAAGCTATATTTGACTGTAGATACCTCCATCATGTATACATCGAGCCATTACCATGGCTGCAAATTTGGAAGCCGAGGTACGTGAAAGAGAGAGAAATAGAGTTAGTAGCATAAAGCATCTCATGGGGTCACCGGGAGAACCAAAGGCACATGATGAATCTCGTGACTCTGGAGGTTCAGGGAGCACCGAAGAATCTATGTCTGCTTTAAGTGACTTGTTTGCAGACCTGAGATTTGCTCTCTCCGAAGACGACCCTTCAAAATCATTCGAGTATTTGAATCGTGCTTGGAAGATTGCAGAAGATTTAGTAGCAAGGTCGGAAAGATCATCAAACTAAACCCACTTTCATCATCAATTATTTCAGCTACTGTGTAAGGTTTTGATCTACATTGCCTCGGTATTACTTATGTGCAGGCACCAGGCAAATAGTTATGTAATAACAAGAACATAATGCATTCTATTTATGTCCAGTACCCAAACTACCCTTGCCAGTCAACATAAACTAACGGATGAGTTTTAATCCCACGTGGCTAAACTTGGAATCTGTAATGGTCAAAGTCGCACGGAGGAATGTCAACCGTACGGTTTCGGGATCCAACGTGTGGGTAAAAGTATAAGATAGAAAAATTCCAAGAAAGAAAGAGAAAAGTTTTGGAAGCGAGCAAGAAAAGGATCAGATTGTTCGAGGAGAGGTAAACCAAATCTTGTGTGTATGAATGTGTTGCGTAATTGGTATGAATGTGTGTGTAAGAATGTGTTGCGAATTGGTATGAATGTGTTTGGCATGAATTTGGATTTGATGTGTGTGACCATTACCTGTTGTATCTTTGAGGTTTCATCTTCATGAGCTGCGCAATATGACTACGTGATCTAATCTGAGCTTTTTTTTTTCCTGTAATGTTGCAACCAGACCCTGGTCTAGCCTAAAAGAGAATATAATCACCTCAAGATGACAAAGTATGTTTCTTTTTCTCCCACTTTTCTTCTACCTTTGTTTCTTAATCTTTTACTCTTGTCTTGATTGTTAGGTTCATGTATTGGCTCCTAAAGAATATCAATGACTTTTATTTAGTTTATCTCAGGATGTTTCCTATCTACAGTTCAGGGGCTGTAACACATTATTGTCTATATCTTTTGCTTTAGCTATTACCAAACACTAGTATTTTTTTTTCTTGGTGTAGCCTTAAGTATGTTCATTTCTATGGCAGGGGACGTGTACAATGGGATGAAGCTAATATAGTGGAAATCGAATCCAACAAACCTGTTAGGCAGAAGATTACCGAACCAAAGACACCCTATCACCCACCCTATCACCCCATGATTGATGACGATGATGGTTTGTCCATTACTCTTTTTCGTTTTTTATGCTACATATATGCTTTTGGTTTTAGTAATCTTCATGTATGCAGCAAAAATAGAATAATCTCCAGAATATGCTTTGTTTTCCCTAGGCGTCTTCTTTTAATTGTTTATCAGCCTAGTTGGAGGTGTGAATAGTTGTCTTTTTTTGTCTTCTTATGGTTGGTTTTTATCAGGTTCGCTGTCTTCTAGAGTAAGATCGTTTGACAACTTTGTTGAAATGCATCGTGCGGAAGAACTAAAGAATGATCTGAACGATTTAGCTTCTTCTAGTAAAATTATCAACCACTTATCTGATTCTGGTGACTTGAGCTCGTCAGAGGATGAAGCAGATCCAGTGGATGAAAATGAAGAAGGTTCTTTGCAAAACACACATCAAAACTGACTTAGTAGTTTCATCATGTCATCACATCTTCATCTCTATTTTTCATGCAGGTTCTGAGGGCGAGAAAAACGCAAGCTTCAACGAACATAGACGGGTGCACTATGACGAGTTTAGAATGGTGAAAGAGTTGAGATCCTCTGGCTCTTTCTATGGTGAAGATGCAGAAGTGGATGATGGTGCCAAAACGGGTAAACCAGATGCAACAATCACACAAAACACTCCAAGTGCTGCAGATGCTATATCTTCAGGGAAGTCATCTTCTCCCTCTACTTGATGAACATATTGTCACACTATGGTGTAATAACTCTGGATTATACAGAAGTTCTAACTTTTTATTTATAAGATTTTTTTAAATGCTAGATAATTATATGATATTACCAACTAAGAGAAAAATCTTATTAGTTTGATCCCAAAAAGAAAAGTCTAGATAAGTTTTGGTCATGCAAATAACATATAAAAAGAAACACAACAGCAACTGGAGAAACCACAATGTCTATGTTGGTATAGATAAACCGGATTTGATCCTGTCAATAGTGTGAGTTATGAATTTCTCAACAGAGTTGACAGAATCTTGATTCACATCTGCAAATGGGTTAGTGTTAACCAAGAACTGTTAGCCAATGGTCAATAGACATCCTCCACCATTTGTCTCTACTCCATCTGGCACTATTGAGAATCCAGAAGGAAGAATAGGCACAGAATATGAAGCCTCACCTCTCATGAGCTTCTCTACTGAATCCAAGCTCAGTGGTGCAAACACCAACAATGCACCTGATGCATCATTCCATGTCTCTTTCAGAACTGAGAGACTAGAACCCTGTTTCCACAGAGTACTGAGTTACAAAAACATATAGAGAGAGACCAATTCAAAGGAGAAGATGTTCTTGAAAACTTACAAAGATTTTAAGAAGAGAGACATAGTTGTTATGGGTTCTTGATTTTTGAATCTTGGTCGTTTCTTCTATAGAGGCCTCATCGGTCAATATATCCCACTGACTTCTAAACTTTTTGTCGTTGAGGAAATCAAACATTGTTTTCTGGTTCACTGGAAACCGAACAGAAGTAGCTGCACTCAACACAATCCCTGTAGACTCACCGAGCACATTCACGTTCTTTCGGGACATCATTCTCATGTTCTGCCCCTTATTCTCTGCATGTAATTCGATGATACCTGAGTGATACTTTAGAGTCATACGCTCTGCTAGCTTCACTATTTCACTTGCAACGTTTGAAGATAATCATGTATCGAAAACACTGTGTGTTATTTAATGGACAAACTAATCTAATTAGTACATCAAATATCTTCCAAAATAACATTATGTATATTTTATGATCATCAAAACGAAGTATATAAGGAGTAATATTACTTCTATAGGAGCAATTGATAAATATGTTATTTATTTTTCTTCCAATTTTCATCATGAAAGATAGACTTTTAAATTAAAGTTACCTTGGTAAACTCCAGCCAGATTAATATTCGACAGGTTCCAGAGGTTTTCGCAGTGTCTCTGCAGCGTTGTGAGCCACCTCTTCGCCCCTAGCCCGATCCCAGAGCCAATCAAAAGCTGGTATAGTGGAGGGATTTTGCTTCTCTCATATTGAGTATGTTCAATCCATGTAACCTATAAAATCAAATAAGCACACGTATTATAGTTCAAAATAGTATGTCAAAACGAATACTATTGATAGTAACCATTTACATTTATATTCTCATAGTACAAGATTTCATGGGTTACCCTTTCTAAGGAAAAATTATGATTCATCAAACCATTTACAGCTTCATAATCAAAAAAACATGTTACAAAAGGCCTAAACTTATATTAACAAAAACTATTTACTAATCTATTTAGTATCAGTTGGTAACGAGTTTGAAGTCTAAATGGATATAACTGATCCCGCATTAAAAATGATAAATGACATATACTATAGTATTAAAAGAATAGGATTTAGAAGTAACCTTAGAGTAACCATTAGCCATGTCCTCTATTATAAGGCCTGAGGGTAAACGGTTAGAACTACCATCCGACAACAACTTATGAGGTTCTTCAGGAAGAGAAAAGTCAACAACCACCCATAAGCCCTCTTTGAGCATCTTACAGTATCTAAGAAATTTTACTCGTCTCTTTGGCACCAATGGAGAAATGACATGAAATCCTGCTTCAATCTGCTCAAATTATAATATCACCAATTTAAAATATTTGTAATGTAAAAAAAAAAAATATTTGTAATGTGTTCTTTTTTTTGATGGGTTATAAATCAAAATTATTGATGACTCAGAGACATATATACCAGTAGGGAGCCAATTATTGGTCCACGGCCGCTGGTAAGTATAAGTGTACGAGCTGATGCCACTGACACAACAGGTTCAAACACGTTGATCCATTTGTTCTGCCAATAAAAAAAAAAAAAAAAAAAAAATATATATATATATATTATCAGAGTAAGAAAAGATATATGCGCATGCATTTTCAAAATTTGAGTTAAACATTTTGAATATATATCATTAAAAATGGATGGTTTAGAGATTGTTACCGTTGTAAGAGTTTCAACTATGGCCAAACAATCCATAAAAACTAAACCTGTTTCCCTGGATGCCTCCATAACATACCCACAAGGTTTTACTAAACCATTGATGAAAATTCTATCATACTCCTCATAGTCCAATGTTTCTTTCCTAGAGGTTGGGTCTATTTTCCACAATGAGCTGTTTGGTTGCCCCATCATAATAAACTCATTCATAGAGTCATTGGCGAGCTCCAACAATAAAGAAGATGAAGGCTGTGCCACATATGGACTATCTGGGATTTGAATGAGACTTCTAAGGAGAATTTTAGCCCAGTTTATCTGCTGCTTCAGTGTAGCATTCTCTTCTTGAAGTTGTTGCACCAAACCAATATAAGTTGGCCCACCACAAATGGTGCATGTACAAAGCATCAATTGTTCTTTGAGCTGCTCTAGTTCTCTTCGCAATATATCATTTTCTTGTCTGAGATCAAAATTCTCATGGCGTTCCTCATGCGCCTGCATACAAAATCAAGGCTTGGTAATGTTAGAAGTAATATATTGCACATAACTTCTAACAAAAGAACAAAATAATGTTTAACATACAATTGGTTATATATATAAATGGCAGAAGTGTGGTCCATTATATCAAAGAAAATAAAGACATAACAACACGTTTACATTTTATACCTTCATTTTGGCTCTCTTGTTCCGAAACCAATACGTAATTTGATTAGTCTCCAAGTTAAGCTCTTGTCCAAGTTTTGACCTCTCCTCCGTACTAGGATGACAACACTCCATAAAGAAGCTGCACTCAGGAAAAAAAAACAGCAAAGCAAAGTAATGGAAAATCCGCAAACCTAATATACTTAATAGGAAATTGCATCATGTAACTGAAAAGTGAACAAACTTTTCGAGTTTCTGGATCTGTTGAGGAGTGTGCCTAATGTTTTTATTTATATTCACACCGACTTGAGCATTAGCATCAATGTTATCATCTTCAGCTCTTTCCATATTGGTTCGATTGGAAATGTCTCCATACACATCACAATCACCTTCTTGTCCGTTCATTTTCCCTATGTACAACAAGTCATACATTTGCATACTCTTAAGTAATACTCGGTAGATAATAAGGAAGTTTTTGGGCGTTAACATTCAGTGTATAGTGTGAGTGTAATCAGCTTGATTTTTCATTAAATTTTAGACTTTCAGTCAATAGATCAACTATATATATATGCAATATGTGACATGGCTAATCCTTCTTCAACACCTATAAGTTTTCTAAAACTATGCATATTCCTATGATGGATACTAATTTCTTCAAAATTAATCAATACTTTGAAAACAAGAACAAGCTTAAACCCTAGTTTCCTATACAACAAAAATCAATTAAAATACCCGATCAATTTTGGTAAACTAAAAACAACAATAATATGAATTGGGTTCTCTTATTCGTAGTATCAAATAAATCGACATACATGAAGAAGAAACAAAAATGAAATATGTTACAAAGGAAGATACAACCTAAGACTCGAGAGTCTCTACACAGTTAGTAGTTAATATACTCTTCACCAAATATATAATCATTGCTTATTGTAAACAAAATATAGCTTTTCATTATGAAATTCAAACGGAAAAACAACAAACCTATGTGGATAACTTCATTTAGTAAATCATATATATTGTTCCGACATTGATTGGAATATTAGTCATATAGTGACTCACAAGAGAGAAGATTTCTACGTAGGAAAAGAAAAAGAAAATTGTGCAAACTTGAGAGATGATAATGAATATATAAATCTAAAAGATAAAACAAAATTTTCTTAAAAAAATCTTCCGGTCCATGATCAGAATCTACAAATAGATCTTCTGTCTCACAACATATCTATAAACGCAAATATAAATATGTGAAAACATTACCTACATAAAAGAAAATTAGAACCACAACTAGTCTTGTTTTGTGGTTTGGATCTTGTAAAGTTGGAACGTATTTATAATTATAGACGAAAGAAGTCAAAGAGAAAAGAGTAAGGAAGATAAGACTGTTGGTAAGACACATTCTCTACCACACAAGCTAATTAGACTCACACGATTTATTGAGATTTCTTTGCTTAATAACACAGAGTGAATATTCTATTAAAGGTAGGTAATTTTGTCTAAATATATCTTCTCGCAATACTATATTAGTCCTAAATCTCTCTTTAAAGTTTTAAATAGTGTGAAATTTTAATAAGATACTCAAACATAACTAAATTAAACTTATATGAAGATGATTGTATGTATACCATGCTTACTTTTAAATTTTGATTTAATGTTCTGTTAAATTTATTATTATAAATTGTATTTTAGCAATGGAACAAGAAAACTATTAACCTATAAAATACATTTTAATCATTTGGAGGAAAAAAATGATATTGTAGTTTAAACAATAAGTTATTAAATATAATATAAGGATAAAATATCAGTTTTAACAAAAACAAATGTGACATTAATACTTTATTACGTTTATAAATATACAAAAAAAGTCGATAGTATTTAAAGAAGATAATTATATGAAAAATGTGATTGTGCATATTATAATAAAGATAATAAGCTGTAATTGGTTGTTGTGGGATTTTATTTTATTTTATTTTTACTTGTATCTGGTGCGATTTAAATACACAGAAGAGCTTAAATTCTAATTGTGGTTTTATGAAAACAAAATGATATGAATATTCTTTCAAATCAGTTTTATTGAAGTAATAGAAAATGTCTACCACTAAAATAATTGTCAAATTATCACTAAAGAAAATTGTAAATAAACAGTAGCAAATTACACTTTATTGCATGGGACAAGATTTGCACATCAAATACAGTATGTGAAATACTTGGATTTTTGAAATCTACATAACTTCAATATAGTGCTTCTTCTAAAACAGATGTGGATGCTAATTCAATTTCCGTCTTCTTTGTTGGCATGTGTTCTAAAGGGAAGACACGAAAATTGTTCTTCTCCTTTAGAAGGTGTACTCGCCATCATATGGATGACTTAGCATTATGGCAGCAAAACATCTACTCAAATCGGGGTTTCGTAAACCACTTGATCGGATTATAATAAAAGAGTTTGGAGTGAACCATGAAGTCACATGTTTGGAACCTAGTTTCTTATTATTGTTAGATATATATACTTGGAATCACATGAAATCAAACGTTTACTCAATTAAATCCGGATATGAATTACTTAGAACGACCAATAACCAAGAACATGTTTTTTAACACTTTCAATAATTTCATAGAAGATTAAAACAGAGTTGTGACAGTGTATCAATAAGAATAACTCGTAAGACATAAAAAAAAAAAATAACAACTCAAAAGAGAGAATACGGACATGTATTTAGTAAGATGAAGTAAAGGAACTGGAGAAAACTTGCATCAAGCAATTCTGCTTACTTGTGCGAGAACATGTTCCAACCAACATGGGCCGGCCATCCACAGCAAAGCTTTAGATCTCGGTGCGCCACGTAGGATCAAATAAATCTCTTATATATTAATTGAGAAACATTTGAAAAGATGTAACCTTAAATTTGTATTAATTAAAAAATAACTCAATCTTACGTGACACATCTCTATGCCTTCTATTTCAAAATAAAACGATTCTAGAGCTTCCAACTTAAAGTATAGTCTAAAAATTATACTCTTTAGCAATATAATATTTTGTAGGCTATAGTTAGTCGCATATATCAAATATTTATTGTTCGCATGCTTTCCTTAAATAAAACCTACAGAATTACCTAATGTGATTAAAATATATATATGGAAATTAATAATCTTAAACAATAAAGATTTGATAACAATCTGTATATTTTTATCATTTTATTCATTTCTTTATTATTAATATAAGTTACACAATTATATTAATCATATAATAAAAATCTAGATTTTTTTGTGTGTATGTTGTATTTCGAATTTTTCAAAACGAGTATAGATTACTAAAAATGTTAAAAGTCTAACATAAACTTTGAGGATGAAGGTTTTAATTTTTTTCTATATTAAAATATAATGATTATAAGACCATATGAAGAAATAATTTTATATTAATAGGTTTTATGTTAATATATATATACATATATATATATATATATATATGTCATATCGTTTAAATTAAACTATACATCGTATGAAACTACATACATATTTTCAAAATATAAAATAGATAAAAATATAAAATATTTATTGTGCATAAAGTGCAGATCTTAACCTAAGTATATATCTCTTTAATTATTTTAAATCTTATGAATTTTCTAAATCTCAAGTGAAAACAAACAAAAGAAATGAGAATAAACTTCAAAATAAATATTTATATCGAGTAATAACCAAACAAAAAAAAACAACAACAAGCGAAAAAATTGAAGATAAATAGGATTGACACGTGAACGTAAACTTCTGATACCATAATTAATTTTTAAATTGTTAAATCATGATATAAAACTGAGTTAATTTTTAATTTGTTATTTTTTTAAAAAAAATAATTTTTTAAATCAATATGGTTATGTTAAATCATGACCAAAATTAATTTTAAATTGTTAATTTTATTTGAAAAACTTAAAATATTGTTTTTAAAAATAATTTTAAATTAAAAATAATTTAAAATTGAAGTTAATCTTTATAAAAAAACAATTTAATATAATTTTCTAATATTATTAGATAAATAAATAAATTATATTAAATTAGTTTTGAAACTTTATATATTCTAAATACAAATATTCGACCAACTGCTTCTTAAGAAAGCATTAAGAAACTTGCTAATACTCTACCAATCAAGCTCAGTGACACTCCGTTTATTTTTCATCACTCGAACACTGAAAAGTGAAAAGATATATGAAATAGAGTTCATTAAATTATAAGCTTTGATCTACGGTTCTAATTACAATTGTTTCTGATCCTTCGTATAGATAAAAATATGAAAATTCTAAAATTCTAAAATTTAAAATACATATAAAAAAAATCATATTTAAATTTTAAATTTGTCAATACTAAAATTTATATTTTAGTTATATACATTCCTCTTATACTAGTTTGATAATATGATGTGTCAAAGGGCCCCACTCGTAGCAGAAGATCTATTGATAACAAATATATGAGCAGCACGTGTCAAATATCGTTTTTGATTTGATATACGAGGGAGGTGTTACTGTAAAGAAGCTTAAGAAAAGATGTAATCGAAAGTTCTGTTTTTATTCATAGAAGAAGACTGCTTAAATAGACCATAAGGTCGAACAAAAAACTCAACAGATAATGAAACTAACTCCGACAATCACTCAACAAACTCCACTCTTCTACTTCCTACAAATCAGGTGGACTTATTCAAATAAAACTGACTTGGTCNTCTGTTTTTATTCATAGAAGAAGACTGCTTAAATAGACCATAAGGTCGAACAAAAAACTCAACAGATAATGAAACTAACTCCGACAATCACTCAACAAACTCCACTCTTCTACTTCCTACAAATCAGGTGGACTTATTCAAATAAAACTGACTTGGTCATAACTTGTAGAACACGTCAACAAGTGAGACTTATTGAACATATCCTTCCCTAAACTGGAACAGGTTCCTTTCCAGTTTACATCTTCTTAGCACACACTCCCATCTCCAACCTGAGCTTCTCGAACACATCCAGCTTCACTGCTTTCGTCATGATATCTGATAGCTGCTCCTTTGTAGGACAGTACTCAAGTTGAATGATCCCATCATTCACAAGCTCTCTTAGGAAGTGAAACCTTACATGAATATGTTTGCTTCTACCGTGTAGTACATGATTCTTAGAGAGCTTGATTGTTGAACTGTTGTCACAGAACAAGACCATTCCTTCCTTCTGCTCCACTCCTATTTCCTCCAAGACATTACGTAACCACACTGCCTGACAAGCTCCATACGCAGCAGCTACAAACTCAGCCTCAGTTGTGGATAGAGTAACAATAGGTTGCTTCTTGGAAGTCCATGATACTGCTCCTCCACTCATTACAAAGACGTAGCCTGAGGTGCTTTTCCTATCATCAAGATCACCTGCGTAGTCACTGTCTGCATACCCCAT